CCGCTGGCTGTTTGCAGTGTCAGCAGGATGTTCTGGTTGCGATCGGCCAGCGACTGCTCGGGCACGCTCATCAGCGGCATGTCGCCATGGTTGCTCTCCACATCCACGTCGGAGCCATCGTCCGAGATCGTGGGCAGCAGCACCTTGGCGGCCGAGTCCCGGCGCAGACAGCTCGGCGAGCTGCGCGGCGCCCGATGATCGATCTGCATCTGGAGGCCACCGGTGACGCCTCCGTGCGAGCTGGCCGAGGATATGGAATGTCTGTGCACACACAGGCTGTTCGTGTAGTTCGCGGCGGGCGCGGCCTGGGCGTGGTTGGTCAGATTGAGAGCGCTCTGCAGCAGCGGCGAGGAGCCGTTCTGCCTCATGCGCAGCCCATTGCCGCGCGCCTCGCTGAAGATGCGCCAATACATGCCGCAGACAAAGCCGAAGGGCAGCAGGATGATGACGATGAAGTACACGCAGGCATAGATCACGCCGAAGATGCTGTTCGTGCTGCTGATGTTGAAGTAGGTGGCAGCCAGGCGCCGGTGCCTGCTGAGCAGCGTGTCCGCCTCGAAGTCGAGCACACGAAACGCGGACAGCGCCCCGAACAGTATGCCCACCGCCCAGGTGAGCGTGATGAACACCCAGGTCTTGACGCCCGARATGCGACTGTGRTAGCGCAGCGGATCGGTCACCGCGCACCAGGTATCGCCGACCACCAGCAGCACCGCCAGGGCGCCCAGTGCGGCGGTCATGTCGATGGACCAGCAACGCAGCTGCACCACTGGCAGCGAGAAGCTGCTGTGCACCGGCACACTCAGATTATCCTCCTGAGTCTCCGTCTCCGTGATGACGATGCCGCCATCTCCACGCTCATCGATGGTCAGCTCGCGGCAATACGTGGCATTGCACTTGTAGATCATCTCTATGGTATCGCCRGAGCTGTCGTTGCTGCTGTTGGTGGTGGTGATGTTGCGGCGCACCACAATGCCGTCCTGCTCCACGAGTTGGCCATGACGGCGTATGGTTAGCTGATGATTGCCCGGCTTCGAGTAGAACTCAATGCTGTCGCCGGCCGCATTGCGGCCAACCAGCTGTTGCTCCTGCCCGGAGAAGCTTTTGATTCCGCTGAGGAACAGAGTCGGTGCCAGAATGCAGCAGCCAATCAGATTGATGATCAGCAGATTGATGGTGAAGCGATTCGCTGTGGTGCGCAGTCCCGGCGTTATCCAGAATGCGCACAGCGCCAGCAGGTTGATGACGAACGAGATGAGCAGCAGGGCCAAGATGAGGAAATCAATGGCCATTTCTTTATGCTACCAACAATTGTTGTTGCTCGTCGATTAGTAACACTTTTGTCTGTTGTTTTACTTTTTCAATTAGCTGTTTTATTTGTTGTTGTTGGTGTTTTTGTATTTGTGGCACGCACATCACTTTACAGTTTGAGAGTCACTTCTTGCATTTTATTTCTGTGCGTTTCTTGTGACTTTTTGAGACACATGCACCAACAAAAATTTCACTTGGTTTACACCTTGCACTCTTCGACTTCTTCTTCGTCTTCTTCTTCTTTTTTGTTTTCCAATTTATTGTAGCTTGTTTCTTGCAAACGCTTGCTAATTTACGCGCGAAGCTCGTCGTCGATATTGAACAAAAATTTCTAAAAAAAATTTCTTTTTCGTTTCTTCGTACATGCAAATCCAATTTCTTTGGATCTCTGGCGTTTACTTTGATTTTGTATTTTGGTTTAAACAAATTGTAATTTCTTGCTGAATTTGTATATGTTTCTGATTTCGTTTCTTTTTCCGCGCGTTGATCGAGCACGATCTTCACTACGAAGCGTTTCAAGCACAACTGTCGTGTGCGTCGACCGCAACGCCTCAAAATATATATKGGCAGCGAGCGCTCTCAGCTGAGCGTCAGCAACAGTTGCTGCTGTGCTCGGAGCGCTGTGAGAGCAGTGAGCGTGCTGAGCGGCAATTTGTTGTCGCTRTTCTCCTTGTGATTGTTGTTGTTGCTGCTGCCGCTGTTGCTGCTGTGATTTGTAGTTCCCACGCTGCCGCTCAATTAATACCGCAGCGACTTTGAATTTATGCTGYCTTCTCTGTTGCTGTTGCTGCTGCTGTTGTTGCTGCTGCTGCAGCTGCAGACTGCAYTGCATTGTTGCTGTTGCCAGCCGGTATTTATCAGCTCTTAGAGTCTGTCTGCGGCTACTGCTGTTGCTGTTGTCCTAGTTCGTTGCAAGCTCACAAATTGTATAATCTTTTTGCAATTGCAATTGGCGAGCGCTGCTTCACTTTTGCTTCGCTCTCATTACATCATAATCGGCTATTGTTGCTCATTTTGATTTGGGTTCTGTTCAACATCCAATGCAGTGGGCCAYGCTCTATTTTCCGAACCATAACAATTGCATTTTTATTAGGCCCAAGTCAACAGTCGTAGTATTGTTGCTGCTGGCGATGCGGAACAGCTGATGAAATTCTCAGCACAGCAACTGGAAGAGAGAGAGAGAGAGAGATGCTATGTGAAATTCGGAGATAAGAGACTCCCTTGCGCTATTTTCATATGAATACAAATAATGAAATACAAAAAATAAATACAAATAAATAAATTAACAATTTACGTTTTCTGTTTTGATTGTGAAATTAAAAATAAATATCAACTGGCTTCGGACCATGACACAGCACATACATACATACAGAAATAATTCACATATGCATGTTTATATGCTTATGTATGGGGACTCATAATCGTGTGCCTGTGACTCAGTTAGGGAATCAATCTATAACATTTGCATGAGCCTTTCCAGAACTGAGGCACGCGTTGGCCCTATGCCACAACGAGTGAGTAAATATTCCTTATCGGCTAATTACAACAATGACCAGACATTGATAAGCAATAAGATCTAGCTGTAGGTAAAAGTATTTCAGCACTACATGAATTCACAGAGCTCTATGAAAAGACAATGAATATTGGAA